TTTACGCACGTTTCCTGAAGATAGAAGTGCTTGTTGAATCTGACGTGACATGTTCGTACGAACCCTTTGTACGAACAAAAGTAAGAGAAATTTAGGATAAAAATACGAACATGTTCTTGCATGAGGCCCAATGTTTCTATAAAAATAGACCAGAGGGTTTGTTTCCTTAGAGTTCCCCTGTGATGTCACTTCCTGTTTCACTTTGACTAAGTCAAATTCAAAAGAAAATCTGCCAGTCATGCAACAAATTGGATAGTATCATGTTTTATGCAAAGTTTCTTAAATATAAAGACGTTTCTTTTTTTTGTATATGAAGTATATGCATGTCACAGACGCTTTAGTGATTGAAGGAAAGCATCAAAACCAGTGTGTCATTAAAAAAATAATGTTTTTAATGTACATTTGATGATGACAAAGTTCACATCATAGCAGAAGGCACAAACTGCTGTCACTAACCTTTTCTGAGTTAGGCTAAAACCAATCGTGAGTGATTTATTAATCTTTGTGGACCAAATGGGATGAGCTTGTGGCCTCACTACGGCCCAGGAACCACCAGTTGTTTTCACTGTTTTTTTTTTCTTTTCAGATGCTGTAAAACCCTAAAAATTTTCCTTTCTGCAACATTTCTTAACGGATTTTACACCTCTTTTATGAAGTGAGAGTCAATTAGCTGCAAGAGAAAACATACAGGACAGTTGATGTTCGGAGCGATCTTGAAACGTTGTAAAAACATTTATTTAATCATCTTCTTACTCAGAATTTATTTTTCTGTTCAGACAAGAACAAGCTGGGTCAAGGTGAGGCTGCGGGAGGAAAAAATAAATCAGACTAATGAGAAAGTTGCAAAGCTGAATTCATTGCAAACACAAAACAAAACATTCAGTTTGTTGACTGAAGGTCTCACACCTGGGGGCAGCTCCGTGGTGCAGTGGTTTCAGCCGCTGCCTCTCGGTGAGAAGGTCACAGKTTCACCTCCAGGTCTTTCTGTGTGGAGTTTACATGGTGTCCCTGACTGGTGGTTTGTCTCTATGTGTCCCTGTGATGGACCCTTAAAGGGGCCAATATTATGTGTTTCTCCGGCATATATTTAAATACTATACCACAATAAAGTATCTATGTCACATTTAGTTGTTATTAAAATGCTGTTTTTATTTTTAAATAGAAAATAAACTTATCTTCTCATCACTTCCTCTTCTAAACACCTTGAAATTGGCCTCTGTCTCTATCAGAACCACCTTCCGGTTCTGTCCCGTGCATTTCAGTGTGCGGGGGTGGGGTGGGGG